AACGTTTTACTGTACAGTACATCATCATTGAAGTGCATTGGGAAACTGAATCCAGTTGAAAAACTTTTTCTGGAGCATAGTAAATTTTTTTCGCCAAGGCTGCACTGTACAATATTACCTTCGACAATAATGCCGGATGGCATGTAAAAAAGTATTCTTCAAGCTTTCCGTCTGTCCACCTGCATATTTCAGGTGCCACCTGCGCATAACCTCCAGGCTTCTCAATTTTCGTCTGCGATCTTGTCCATGTTTTTTTCTGCTTTCATCTGGAGTTGAGAGCTTGAGGCTGGTTTAAAGCACTTCAATATAAATGTAGCATGACAACAAAAAATCCCCACATTTTGCTGTTTCCAGATCATGGCTAATGTTTGAGCTGATAAACAAAGCTTCTCAAAATGCGGAAGTCATTTCAAGATGGCACAAGACCAGGAGCCACTTTTCCCAGACCAAATTCTGTCTTTGGGGGCTACAGCATATGAATTCCATTCTCGAATAACAATCGACTGTCAAAATGTAGATCAAGATCCATAATTCATCATGGAATAAAATCTGCCACAGGCCAATGTGAGAACCCCTTTTTGGGATTAACAGAAATACTAGGAGGACACTCTGCAGGACATTTTTTCTTACCGAGCAGTTCTTATCAATGAATGTGGAGATGACCAAATACCGTATTGTAACAAAAATGAGAATACGGTATGGAATCACATATTCAAGTATCATTCAAGGGACAATTGAATGAACTTTAATTCGATCACTATTTATAAGGAATATGCCTCTGTTGTTTAAATACAGTTGGGCGGCCCATGGGGTTGAGACATAATCATGCTTCTCAGACTGCATCCATGTTGTAACTGATGTAATATCTGCATGTTGAGTCACATTTTCGCATGAACTTCAAGTATGCAACTTTTCATCACTCCTCAAGTTTGGCAAAAAATTGGAAAAAGTCCTCCTGTATATTCAATAAAAAAGCGTTTCTTAAATCCAAGCTGCAGAAGATTACTGAGCTGAAGGAAACTATTTAAAAAGAATCTGTCTTTCAGGCATGAACAGGAGTCCAACGTATCACTACACTGTACACATGGAAAACATTGTGAAAAGATATGCACAAACTTAGGCGTTACGGAAAAAATAAAGGAAATTTCTCAACAAATCTACTTTGAATAAATGTCCATGGTTGTATATAGCTCAACTCGGTCAAGATGTGTCAAAGCTTTGAAATTAATATTTTTAATTTCTCAGGAGATTTGGGCAAAGCATCCATGTCTGTTGGGACATGGTCCAAATGTTGGGCGGAAATTTCGAGTTTAAAGTGTCCATCTGTAAGTCAAACCATCTGCAGGTTGAGGTAGAATATGTAAGCATCAATGACACCCACAACATGTCGTAACAAGATGTGTGTACCTTGTCGGGTCTTCTTGTCAGTTTGGGGAAATTCTACGGGAGACTATTTCGCGGTGGGACCCGTTGACGGTTATAAAACTTACTTTGTTATCTCCTCTATGTTAAAGTCTATAGAAAACCTTGATAAGATGCCAACCGCCATCCGCCAGCATTATTGATGAAACAAAAGTGCTGTTTCCAATTATTTTTTTTGCTGTTATGATGCCAACATTGGGGTAGAATTATAATTCCTGCCAAGCATCTTGTATTTGTAAGAAAATAATAATAATGTTGAAATTTTTGAAAAATATATTGACCTAATCTTAAAATTTGAATGAATTGATGCAGCAAAATTTATTTTCTGGAAGAGTAATCCATTGATCAAAGCAATACTCTTTGGAAAATTACTGAAGGTTCTACACATAACCTGTATCTATATGACTTTTGGAGGAAAATCGAGTATTTTTGATCAAATAATAAAAATTAAATATTTGATAAACCGCCAACCTCTTTAACCCCCCCAAAATTGCTCTGGACAAATGGTGGCGTCTTATCAGGGGTTGACTGTATAAGAGGGTTTCACACATGCCACTCTCTGTGTTTTACTGCTCGTCCTTCAGCAAGTCAGAGCCTGAGATGGGATGATTTGACATTCCTGACTCTCAAGAAAACAGAAACTCTCCCGCAGTGCCTTAAAATTGGTACTTGAATGTTGATTATTCCCTGTTAGCGAATTTTAAGCTGGGATAGTAGTACTGTACAGTATTTTTTTCCTCGAATCAATTGACGAAGATCAACGTTGGTCCATCAGGTGCTGTTTCTGTGAAATGGGAAAAGTACTTGATCTCACTCCGAGTTGACACACTACTATAGCATGATTCAGAATGTAATTGCAACACCAAGTCTTGTCTCTTCTCCTCCATCCGGAGAAAATAAATGTTTGTCAAGCACTTTATTTTTTCACACGCTATGCAAAGTGATCAAGGATTTCTTTTTCATTATAATGGATGTTGTAATGCTAAATATAACTAAGCACAGGAACATAAATAAACCCCTTATCCTCAGCATCACTGCAAACATGGAAGGATTTGAATTACAAAAATTGCATATTCTTTATACATACTGTAGAGAGCATCCTATTTACTCAAGCACCACACACCCTTGAGTACAACCGGCACCTTAGTTTTTTGGCCTGAAAATTATCCAAAAATGTGTCTCAACAGAAAACACAAACCTCAGTTTTATACAGTTGAAATAAAGTTTTTTAAATTTATTTTGAACAGAGTAATCCCATGAATGAATTAATATAGTACAATAAAGCTCTTCAACTGGATTTGGGCCAAGCGGAAGTCCTTGTTCATGATTTGCACCAATGAAGCAATCAATTATTGCTCTGGCCACTGATTTCATAATTTTTTGTTTCAAAGAATGTTCACCTGCCTACCACTCACATTTACTTCTTGTCTTGAATTTGCAGAAAAAAGTGAATACCATACTCAAGTAAATACATTACTGTACATGAATGGAAATTCTTTGACTGCAAGAGTAAGCACTGGCATTGCATCTGGAAACTCTTGACCTTCCACTAAATAATGTCTGTACAGTACAAAGGCAAGAACTTGGAGGAAGATGGGTAAATCACAGCCAATGAACACTCAAAAACGTCTCAAGAAATTATAAATTTTTAAATTACCCATAAACCTAGCTTTGTCAAGAGGAAATAAATTATATTTGTAATCATGGTACATGAATTTGACAATTGCCGATTTTGGTCATAGTACAGTATTGCACTCTGTATTAAAAGCATTCAATTGCAATGGACTAATCCTCAATCTTGACATGACCCAACCTCTGTTTGGATTACTTACCCACCCTTTTCAAGTGAATAAATAATACTGTAAATTGCAATATAATACAGTGAGACCCCTACNGTGCAGATGCCTTGACCTGCAGACAATTCAACATATGGACACTTATTTTCCCAGAAAAAAATCAATAAATAAGGCCCAACATGAGGACACTGACTCAACATGGGGACATTTTGTTATGAAATTGCAAATACATTTCAGGCCAAATTACAAGAAAAAGATATTTCCCACCCTAGGATAATTTAAGAAAATTTCTTGGGCACTTCTCTCACCAAATTACCATCCATTTAGCTAACTAAAAAAAACTACCTACTTCTACTTTTTTCACTTGAATGTTATTTTTGTAGATTCCAAAATTTCAGTGTACAGTACAGAGATACACTATTGAATGCTCCAAATGTTCTTATTGAGTGGAAAATGTATTCACTAATTCAAATTCAATTGGCAAACCATTTTTTTCAGGGAATTCTGAAGAATATTTCTTCCACAAAACACCAATTAAAAATTATATCATGTAAGTCTATGGGAAAACAAGACTTGACTTGGGAACATTTTGACTTGGGGACACTCTTGATGCACCAATTACATATACATCTTGGGGTCTAACTGTACTTCACTCAATTGAGAGAACACTTGAATTAAAATAATGCCTCCAATGCATGAACACATAGAAATACAAGCACAGTGTTCTGATCTTGGAACTTCCAGCTACTGAAAATGAATTTTGTCCTTGGATATCTGGCATTGTCCCTGTCTCGAATTTCTCAAGTCTTGCGATGTCCCTTCCTCAAATTACCAGCATGCCCCCACAAGATATCAAGTGGTTACCATTACTCATCAAGATGCAGCTGCTGGTACTTAAACCTCAGCAAATCATGAGATAGCTCGTCTTGCTACTATGAAACAGATTGAATCCATCCAAGAAGCTTAGTTAGCCAAATAACTTTCCAAAAGCCGCATTTCTTCGAAAGATGGGCGAAGAAAACGTTTCTTTGGCGCACACATAGGTGACGAAATTGAACTCAAATTTATGATTTCTCACAATAAAAAGACCAGCTGAGTTTCTACAAGATATTCTAGTAAACTTTTGAACCATTTCTTCTACAGTACCATGGGGTCCCAAGATGCAGACAACCAGACAGAACCAGTGCTTGGATTTTGTACTTATGTTGGAACATTGACATGTCAGGTCACTTTTTCCCTCAGACTTTAATGGGAATATGCTAGTAAAGTAGAGTTATTCCATTATTTCTCTTGTTGATTAAAATTAGCAAAACTCGCCCCCCCCCCAAACAAATTGATGAAATAAATGTTACCAACTTCACTAAGATACAGAAAATAACGGTGCAGAAGAAAACTACACATTACCTTTTGAAAGGAAAAGGAGAACAAAAGAGCAAACAATGAGCCCGAGGCTTCCAAGTACTGTACTGTGCTCCGATGATGGAAAGAACTCCGGAAAAAGAAAGAAAATTACACCCATTTTTATCATTCTTTATCAAATTTATAATTTTTAATAAGTTTTCATGAATAAAGAATAAACGAAGCCAAAATTTTTTCTAGAGATATAAAAATTTCCTCACTTGCCTAGAAATTCCATGTCCGTATCTCGAAACCAGATGTGGAGAAATTTTTTGAGCTATCACGTGTCCCAATATCAAATCGTCTGTATGTCGGGACCCACTTGACAGTATTACTGTACTTGGAAATCTACGAGCAAAATGACCCTTACCGACAGTGATCAACTATTTAAGCAAGATTTTCCCAACCAATTTTTACTAAACCTCCCTGCAAACATTCCGGCGAAATCGAGCGCCAAAAACACCACACACACACACACACACATACCGAACGTGATAATTTATGAAACAGAACAAAACCAAGCGTTTGTTTTCACTTTTCAAAAAAAAAAAAAAGAGACGCGATTTCACTCAGACTCTTCACCGCCTTCGTAGTCTTCGTTGTCGAATTCAATTCGCAGGGGAGAATACGTATCTTCCTCACTTCGCTTCTTTCGTAGCTTCTCCCGCAAGTCCAATACTCGTGCTCCGTCGTCACTGTCGTCGTCTGCATGGGGCTGCCGGCGGCTCAAACGAGATCTACAACAACAACAACAACACAATTATCATCATCTCCGAGTTGAGAGAGACAGACTCCTGGAAACTCGCGGAATACAGCGGAAATGCTCTCATTATCTTCGTACTACAGTAATCTGGATATAAAAGCTGATCACGAACTTTTGCGGCAAGCCTTCACCAAACCAACGCCGACGCGTTGCTTTTCTGGAGACATCGCTCTTTTTCGATTTTAGAAGTTAACTTTACGAAGTACACGTAATTATTCATTCAACACAAGTCAAGGAAGTTTGATGAAACGCAACACTTGAATTTGCAGATAAATATTCTGACGGACTGAAATGAATTAGAAAATAAAATCATTCGACATTAAAAGTTGAGCTTCTCTAGATAGAGCTGCTGAAAATGTGCTGAGAAATGGCCAATTGAGAAACGCAATACACTACACTGTCACAGGAACGGAAAATTCTCTTCGTCGCAACCAAAAGATATGTATGTATATACAGTACCGTACGTCGTAATCTAATAACAAGTATAATACACAGAGAGTGTATGAGATTGTCGCAACCTCGGAAATGTGATAGTAAAAATAAATCTTGACGTAGCCCAGGATGTTCTAAGTTTCTGAGATTATTTTCGGATTAAAAAAGAAGTTTTTCAATTCACTGCATGATGGTAGGCGACAACTTTACTTTTCAGTTGCACCCAGAGTTCTCCACTCATGTTAGAGGGTGCAAAACGTTTGCCAGGCCAGCTAAAATAAATATTTTCTTTACTTTTACGTACCCATAATCTGGTCTGAATTTTAGCGAAGACAACAAAATTCAATTTTTTTCAGCTAGCCCGACAATTTTCAGCACCCTGTGACATGGGTGGAAAACTCCGGCTGAAACAGGAAATTTTTCATTTATTATCACGCATTGAATTGAAAAACTTTTTTCAAATCCGACAAAATCCCAGAACCTTGGCCTATGGTTCTGGGATTTTTTTTTTTCAGTCACACCTATTCTAAAATTAGAACAAGTCGCGTCCAATCGGGACAAACCTCTCAGTGCTGGGTTCAGATCTTAAAGTTCACTTCATAATCTTATTTCGAAGTCCTTGACAAAAATTCACACGGTTTACAATCAGGGTACCTGTACCCCTTGATTTTTGTCATGTCAGCCAGAAAAATTAAGAGTAAACATGGAACTAGAAGAAGTTGGGTACTTCTCTGCATTGCGCGTATTTTAATCATTTTTGCACTGCCATTGTGAACAAGAAACTGGTTGAGGATTTTCGACTCGAATTGTACTTCCATCTGAAGTTCATTGCATGTATCTGGGTGTTCGGCATTTATAGATTTCATCACTTCGCAGTTATGAAGGCCACACTGCGCAGTAAATATCGCATCGATTTAGGTACTGCATTGCGTACAGTACTTCGTCACACTTAAGGGTACATTCTACAGCGATGTTCTTGTGCGTCTATAACATCATCTGCTGAAGTACCACAAAGCTTGTCTCTTCCAGTCATCCATATAAAATTTTAGCCAATCTTATAAATGGACACCGTTTGGTCATTCCTACTCTGAGTTTCGTTCGATATTTTCATGGATTCATAGATCTCTCCTTTCAATAATGGGTACCTCTTAAATGGGGCAAATTCCTAGGGAGTAGAACCGGAATATGAAGACGGTTTGGGATTAAATGTGAGCGTCACAAAGGAAAAAAAATTGGCCCGCATTAGTTTTACAACAAACAGCAGAAAGATTCGATAGAATATCAGCATAGGAGAGTTGGGAAGCTTGATAACTCAAGGAAAAGGATGCCTCAAAGGCTTGAACTACACTAAAATTTGAACCGAACCCCGTTAGGACGGACCCTGATAAGCCGCCACCCTCAGCAACCGCCAATTTATTTCGAAAAACAAATCTCCACGAATAGTAATAGCATTGGAACCCCACTTCAACTTTTGTCCTTGAAGAGAAATCCCTGTCAACAAATCAAAATTTGGCTAACAAACTTTTGCTCCAAGAAAAAAAATCCAAATTTGGTTATGACCCTGAACTGTACAGTACCATTTCATTGCAGTTCCAATGGACAAGTCAAGATGAAAAAAATATTAGGCAGACCAAATGCTTGCACATTTTAAAATATTTTTTCAACATAAAGTGAGTGAATGAGGATTTTCTGTGAGTTGAGCAGAATCAATTAAACAAATGATACAATAGCTTCAAGAAGCTGCAAAAAAGCATTTTCAAACATATTATTCTTGTTGTTAGCACTATTCAACTGCTCAATTTTTTCTTTAGTTACAACATTTTAAAGTTAACATTTCTTTCTGGTGGCAGTTATCCTACACATATGTAAATGTTTTTCTGTATGTCGGCTTTTTGAGTGCTGTTTTCATCCATCATAGTCCCATCCAACCCTACAAAAAATTGCAAACCCACAGAAGATGAAACAGTTACTAAGTCAGATTAGATATTTGTTCTGAACATTTTTCGTTACATCTTCAAATTGTATTTGGGTCCCAGGAACAGATTAATTGATCCTCCATTGAAGTCTACCAGAAAATCAAATTTAGCTAACAAAATTTTGTCTGGAACCAATTGAGTATGTTAACCAATGGTCCACTGTATATAAGTGGTACCTCACAGAACGAACTCTTCGTAAAACGAACGTTCCGCAGAACAAACGTTTTTTTTGAGGAAAATCATTTTTTTCACCCTCGTACTACGAACGAAATTCGTAGTACGAACTTTTTTTTCCCACAAAAAATCTGAAAAATTCAAAAATTCGAAATTTTTTAAATATTTCTATAAAGGCTCTAGAAAAATTGGAAAAATCAGAAAAAATCATCCACCATAATTATATTCAATTGAGAAGCTATTTACATTATTTAAGATAGAAAAAAATTTTAATTAGCAATCCCAAAAAATTATTTTTAAAAATCCAAATGAATACTGTACCACTTTTTTAGGACTCTTTTCTCTACCAGGTTGAAATTCATTAAAGCACTGCATCTGGGGGGGTTTTGCTACAATAAATTAACAGTTTTATTATTAGGTCTCTACTTAAATTTTTAGAGAGAGTAGATTGCAGGTTTAAAAAATATTTGTTTCAATAAGACTATGCTCAAAGCAAAAATTTCTTTGAAAATTGATTTTACTTTGAGAAACCCCTGCAATTCAAATTATAATCCAGAGTTTTAAAACACAGTTACAGGTTTAAAACATGAATCCACAATTTGGTTCACATTTTGTCTAAGGGGGTTAAGATGTAAGCTAAAAATTCTTTGAAAATGTGTCAGCTTTGAATATTAACCTCTCAGATGCAATTGAAAAATTTGATGTGGTTATGCTCAAAGCAGACACATTTCAAATAATTTTTGCTTTAATCATAACCCCTTGGGAGCAATGTTTTAAACCATCAATCCACATCTTGATCAGCAGGTCTGGAGCATCAATCCACATTGATTTAAAGAAGGTTATCCTCAAAGCAAAGCTGATTGTTAAGGACATTTTCATGTGAGGATTGTATAAGTCCACAGAGGAAATGTTTTAAACCAGCAGGTCACAATCTCTAAGAGATCAAAAGGAAAACCTATTTTGAATACTTTTTAGCATAAACTCTTCGGAAGCCATTCTTGACCCTGAAATGCACACTTTCTGAAAAATTGACTTAAAACAAAGTTTCTGAACATTTCTGGGAAAAATCCAGGTGGAACTCCAATTTCGAGGACAGTTTGCATCTCAATATTTTTATGAAGTGTGAATTGGAGGCTTTAAAAATTATTCTTAGGCAGTTATGATCACAGCAAAAAATCTTTGGAAGTGGGGGTTGCTTTGAGCATAACCCTCTTAGAAACAATGAATGTTTTTTTTTTAATCTAAGGGGTTATGCTCAAAAAAACCCCCACTTCCAAAGATTTTTTGCTGTGATCATAACTGCCTAAGAATAATTTTTGAAGCCTCTAATTCACACTTCATAAAAATAATGAGATGCAAATTGTCCTTGAAATTGGAGTTCCACCTGGATTTTTCCCAAAAATGTTCAGAAATGTTGTTTTAAGTCAATTTTAGATTAAAAAAAAAATTTTTTTGTTTCTGAAACGGTTATGCTCAAAGCAACCCCCATTTTCCAAAGACTTTTTTTGCTGTGATCCTAACTGCTTTAGAATAATTTTAAACCCTGCAATCCACAGTTCCTGAAAATGTTGAGATAAAAAATGTCTTTGAAATTGGAGTTTCATCTGGTTTTCCCCCAAATTTTCAAAACAGATGTTCAAGTAAATTTTTCAGAAAGTTTGCATTGCAGGGTAAAAGATGGCTTTCAAATGAGCATAACCTCTTAGATTTTTTCAAAATTTATTGTTTCTAAGAGGGTTATGTTCAAAGCAGACACATTTTCAGCAAAATTCTGCTTTGAGCATAACCCCCCTATAGAGGCAATGTTTAAAATTTTGTGCATTGATGATTTAAATCTGTGGATTTGTGTTTTACATCTCTTGATCAAAATTTGAATTGCAGGGGCTATGCTCAAAGCAAAATGAATTTTCAAAGAATTTTTGCTGTGAGCAGAGACACCTTGAAACAAAATTTTGAAACCTTCAACTCTCCCTAAAATTCAAATTAAAGTCTAATTTTAAAACTATTTTGCAAAACCCCCTTATGAACAATGTTGGAAGAGATTTCAACTTACAATGCACACATAAAAAGAAAACTGAGTTTAAATCCCATTTTCAAAAATAATTTTTGTCTTAATATTTTTCAAAACAGTTTGGATCATAGGTTTAATGTTTCACATGTAGGGTAATGCTCAATGAGTGCTAAAATTGCTTTGATGGAAACAAAGAGAGGTTTTTGGATTTTTTTTTTGAATTTTTTTGAATTTTTTTGAATTTTTCAGAAATTTGGGAATGAATTAAATGATTTCTCATAGAAGTCTATGGGAAATCATGATTTGCAGTACGAATGTTTCATACTACAAACGTAGCTCCAGAACCGATTACATTTGTAGTGTGAGGTACCACTGTACAGTAAAATCTTGTAACAACAAACTTGTGTGGGGACTTCAGAAAAAGTTCGTTGTAACAAATAAGTTGTTATATTGAGATTTTGAAAATTATTGACTGATCGAAAGATTTTCTTCAACTTAGACCTGCATATATTCAACATCATCCTTTTGTGGCCTTTACAGATGTTTTTCAATGGTTAAAGACTGATCTTCAGAAATAAACATAATTGTTAATAAAAAAAACAGATACTCTGAATAACTGGTAATACTAACACACTTTCTTGACTCCAAATTTTTTAAAGCAATTCCTGCGAAGATTTGTAAGGGTGAATGTTCCAAAATTGCTGACAATTTTTACATCACTAGCATTTCTCAAGCATGCAAAACCTTTTCAACATGAGTATTGCTGGGCTCATTTTTTTCCATCTAACCGCCCCACCCCCTCCAACCATCATTCCTAACATAAGACTAATTTCTGAAAGAGAGGATTTTCAGATGAACTTTGAAGAATTTTTGCGCATGATTCCACCCTATGTTCCAAGAACCAATCGCCAGTCACATTTGAAATGGGAAAATGAGATTGTGCCTGTCTTCATTACAGATTTTTTCATTAAGAAATCATAGAATGTTCCTCAAACAAGTTTGTTATACTGGAATTGCAGTTTGTTGTAATGAGATTTTTATAACATGTACCTTATAGGATTTCTGCTGGGACTTGAACAAAAGTATGTTATACTGAAAAATTTGTTGTAATGAGATTTTACTGTATAGGTAAGCTGATTTCATTCCAAGGCGCAGTTCATCGATTAAGCTATTCGCTGTTTTCAACGCAAATCCCCACCCCAACGTATTTTTTCCTCGAGGCGCAATCCGAGTATGAACTGGAGAACGGCATCAGGAAGTAAGTAACGTAAATAAAAGTCAATGACTCGAAAAGTGGGTCACGAACATAGCAGATCAAACGTTTACGGTTCGTCAGATATTAACTTTCCGAAGAAAATCCCTTGGGTTCCAGCAGGAGATTGAAAAAAACAAAACAGCACCGACGCAGTTCCTGGTGCGTTTAACACGAGCATCTTACTGATTGTTCCTTCTTCGTAAGATGCTGGCAAGGCCCACAAAGAATACGGAAAACATCCAATCACTATAATGTCTAGCAGAATTTATCGAGCGGAAGGTAGATGAAGGTTTTCGCCGCAGAAAACAAACAGATACCGGCAGAAAAATGTGGCGCACTGTGGTAGCATAATGAAACTTCAAGTGGCAACATATTTGTGCCCTGTTGCATAATATTTAGTCGATTACCGCTTGCAATTTTTTTGCATAATAGGCGGGAATGACATTTTGAGGATTTCTACAAGTTCTGATGCGCATTATACTTGATTCTCGAATATTGATCAATTTCAACAAAATAGATTTTTAATACAAATCATGTAAAATTAAAATTCGATTTTGGTACAATTAAAGTCGAATTTAATGTCCAATTCCTTCGTTGCTCAAAATATTGAAATTCTCAGTCATTAAACGTGGCATTGCATCTCACTTGGGGATAAAAATCAGGTGTACGTCTTACCAGAGGGCGCGTGGTACTCAAGTACAGTACATGGATTACTGGGAGATTTCAACATAAAAATACCACATCATTCAAGAATTGTACTGCTCTGCGAATTTACAATTGCAAAAGGAGAAGCAGAAGAGTTTCTGCGAAGTACTGTATCAGCCACGTTTCCGACGCAGAAAAATTCCCGAAATTTTTATTTTTTCAGGGAAAATAGACGGTATAAAATGTTTAAATTACTGCATAATCGTGATACAATCAATTCTTTCAACGCAGGGCTAAATTTGAAATAATGAACATTAAAATTGAGCTGCTTCGATTGCGACGAGTTCTTGCTTCACGGGTTTGGTTTCTCATGCCTTTCCTCTGACTCGCGAATTAAATGGGGAATCGACTCATTCCATGCCGATCTTTAAAAAAAGAAACGCTATGACACGCAACGGATGGGAAGAACATGTTCTTCGGGATGAAATAATCTCTGTCCAAGAAATAAGTATCGATTAATCTGATACTGAGATGCAAGAACATTTCCTATTGTTTTCCATCAGAAAATGCTGTAATTCAGAAAGTGATGCCATCTGACGTTCGTAATAAATATGCTTTCACCCTTCTTCAAATATTTTAGACATTTCAAAGCTGAACTACCCATCGGACCAGTCGTAACACCTTTTCGTGATCATGTCGCCCATGGTTCATTTTCGAACAGAACAAAATTAGGATCAGTGCACGAAGAACCTGAGTGCCGCTGCTTTTTTTTTCGTGGTACTAAATCATGAAATTGGGGGAAACAGTACTAGTGCCATTCACGATGGACACCGTTCAAGTCCACTGGACGCTCGAAACAAAAGCTATCTGAGTCTGACGGGACGGAACCCAATTTGTTTTTTGTTTTCCCTTTGAGAAGTAAAAAAATTCCATCTTCACCGGAATACCACACACCCTCAAGTAAAACACGCACTGGGGATTTTCAGTATAAAATTATGATAAAATTGTATCCCCAAAGATGATGTTTACCCCGTTCCTAGCAACTCTGAAACTGCAATATTTCAAAAATAAGAAAACCCCATTTGAATTTTGACATGAATTGAACCCAAATTCAACAAATTTACAATTATTTCCATTGCACCAATTTTTTTTTTGGTTGAAATTAATCCAGATTTCCCATGAGAATCAAATATAATGCACACCTAAACTTTTAAAAGATTTTGAAAAAGGTACACCCAATTTCTCTGCCTCGCATATATTCTCTTGAACTGGAGACATGAAACCTGAGATTGGGCCCTTGCATGTTTATTATATGTCGTTTATTTGATGTTCTTACACATAAATCTGATCAAGTTCCAAAAGCATATGGTTGCCTGTCTTGTCTTTTTTAGAGGGATGCTTCAGCTTGAGAGAGGGCCTTTGCACTGTCTGCTTGATCTTTGAGCTCAGCTCTGACCAGAGTATGAAGATGTTGTTTATGAGCATGTGTTATCCTGACTGACAATAAACAGGACCGCTTATGCTGATCAATAGTTAGAAACTTCAAATAGCTTGTTAATGTTTTTCAATCACGCACTCACGTCACTTTCCTGTCACTCTTGAATAAAATCTGCCACATTCAGAGGGATTCCAATTGGAAGAACAATTGGACAAATTTCCAACAAATACTTTGTGTGGGACAGACTCCTACATATTTTTGGTGAGTAGCCTGGCAAGCCTGAGATAATAAAAGTTGTGCAGTACCCCGCAATTTGACCTAATTTCGTAGCTGGACCAGGGTCAAATTGTGAGGCAGCCAAATTTCAGGACAATGTAAAATGCAATTTTTCCTAAATTAAATTCGAAATTTTGAATCTCTCTGCAGGTTGAATGGCAGTGCAGAGGTCGGATTGCAAGTAGACCTCCCGGAAAATTTGGGCAATGAATAGCAAGGTACCCACCTGTACAAGAGGACTCTTCCTACAATGATTTTCTCTGTATAGAAAATATTTTTCGGGTCCCATAGAAATCTCTTCCATTTTTATAGGGCTTCTATGCATCGAATTTTATTCTGATCCCTCGAATTTCGTCGTAGACATCCTCCACAAGTATTCACCAGATGTTCACCTGCCCATGACAAGCACCCCCTCTTTCCCTCAATTTTGAGAAAAATAGAGTAAGGTGCAAGTGGTACTCGAGAAAATACGAGTACGAAGATTCGGTGGAGGTTCAGAAAAATAAAATGAAATAAAAATAAGGTGGCACGAAAACTGCTCAAGGCAGAGACCTGAGATCCGTGCTGCGACGTCGCGCGGTGGCCGTGCGCCTGACGACAGGCTCAGTGTCGGACTCGGCGTCGTACTCCTCGTCATCCCTGTCGCGCAGTTCCGGGTTTTGTATCGTAACACGCACGATTTTGTCCATCCTCAGCAGCCCATTAGATTCGTCAGTTCGCGATAATCTCTGCCGGAGATCCACCATCAAGTGCTTCATGTCGTTCCGATGACGCAACCGTCTGGATCTCGGCCGGGGCTCCTCTGCATCCACCTGCGAGAAAAACAAAAATTCCTCGTGCAGTCGGACCACATAAATTACTTCCGACGTGGAGCTTGTAAAGAGTTCCACTCACGAATTCATTGGTGCTGGTCTAGTTCGTCATCTACCACACTTGCGCATGCATCAATCAGCACGTGTATGTCATCTACGTTTCACAAACCCAGCATCTCGTGGCTTCAAACTGTTGGCACATTCTGCCTTTTAAACGCCTGGATTCCCTTGATGTTAATTCGCACAATTGCTTAATTTGTTGGCGGGAAAAGTGAGCTATTTCATGCGCAATCGCAGAATCACATAGGAATATTCAAATCGCATTTTTCGCCTCGCGAATCTAAACAAGCATGTAGATGAAATACTGCCAAGTGCGTGTAGATGCACTTTTCCGGTAGATGACACACTAGAGTACTAGACCAGCACCGATTTATTCTTTCGACGTCTCAGTACACGATTCTCCACTTATTTATCCACTTCATTCCGAGCATCGCTTTTAAATACACGATCGCATGTCAAATTAGGACAGCAACTTTTGCCAAATACAGAGGACATCTGAAACTTTGAAGAGGTAAGCAATCCTCGATAGACTGAGGAGGCCACAACTCAATTTAATCTAACGCAATTGCTGATTTTCTGGCATGAACGCAATTAACGGCGCAACTTAGCTAAAACTGTCACAGCTGGTCGACCTCTGCAAGGCTTCGAGAAAATGAACAGAAGCCCGTACAGTTGACCTAACGTGGTTAACCCCAAATGCGCGATGAAACCCTCTGAATGAGCAATGGATGAGACATCGCAGGAAAAAAAAAACCATTCAGTCAATTGAAACCCCATCACACATCCAGTTGCAAACGAAAATCCTCTCGATTTTTCAAATCGATGTTTGAACATCACTTTCAAACTCCCGGACGTTTTTCGCAAGAGGAAGCTCGATCCAGAACGCAAGCTCAACGGATTGCAATTTCAACAGTGCCGAAAGTAGGCAGTCCGTCAAATTCATCTTTCGTTTTTCAGAGAATAAAATTCTTGATTAGGAAGATCCTCAAAAAGCTAATTTCAACGACTTGCTCCCTGCTATTATGCAGGACATTAGAACTGTTCACTGTCGATAAGATCACATTCCCGGCCAATTCGTTCCTCTTCTCAAATTACTAATCACAGATTCGTGCAGTAGATCACGTACAATGACATTCTTCAACTGGTACAGGTAACAGTTCGACGATAAAGCGCGAACTGGGATAGGACCGATTTTGTAAACCTCGACGTCCGGTATAGCACCAACATTCTAGGAATTAACTCGCATCACTTCTGTCGTCCCGTATTCGGAATTCGACGATATCCAACAACAGAACACGACTAAAACGATCGAGCACCATGGAACAAGTTCTTCTACCACAGCAATCTCGCAAATGAAAAAGGTTAAATGAGTTTCATGTTATCGGAACAAGCCTAACCTCCGCAACTTGCTCTTTCTATGCACTGCGATCGTTTTTATAATGAGCACCAGAATGAATTCCCCACTTCCGTCGCCTGCGACGAATTGCAGATTGAAATCACGGGTTTTGCTCAAAATTTAATAAATACAACTCAGACATCTGACAGTTGAACTTAGAGACCATGACCTATGGTGTGCATGAAATAGCAAGAAAAATTTGCTTTTTCGTTAATCTGGTTGGGACTCGCTTTGTGTTGCGTCGAAGTCTTGGCTCTTTATACCAGTTAAACATTGCTCTGCGTAACACCAATAAAATAAAACGCAAATGCTCGGAGATGATCAAGATCTTTACCTGTGATGCAGAACTGGCGGAGGACTCGACGAACTCTTCTTCCTTCTCCTTGGCGCGTTTCTCTAATTCATCAGCATACATTCTAAGGCGTGGTTTCTTATTGCGGCTCTCCCATTCGACACCATCAGAATCATCTGCATCGGAGCTCAGCGGGAGGTTCAAATCTGAGTCGGCATCTCGTCCACCTGAAAAAACAAATCCCTGCGTAAATTCCCGGAACTCTAGCTTTAATTCAGTACTTAAAATATTACCGATGGAGGACTTGGAAGAGTGTGTGGACGGTGGCGGGGCAGGGGGAGTCCGTCCGGTTGTCCAGTCGTCTAACCACGAAGAACTCAAACCTCCCCAAGGATTCTCTTTTGAAAATTGCGGCTTGGAATGACGACGCATTGACTTTTCTTCCTGGATCCGTCGCTTCCGAGAATCCGAGATCAACCCGGTCATACCTTGAAATAATTTTTTTATTTTATTTCAGTCTTACTTCTTGATATACCCTCGTGGATACAAAGGTCGTCCGATACAAACAAATTCAAACGGAAGTTACACTCTTTAATTAAGGGCGAGAATGCGGAGATCTGGAACTTAACAAGCTTCCAACTTCTGATCAGAGGTTCAACAGTTGAATTATAAGATGGTCCACCCGAAAAAGACTTCCCTTTCGTAAGCGGCAGCAACCCTGATTCCTTCTTAGGGTACTTCTGCAACAAAGCCTCAGCTCACAGCGAAACCGTGTTCCAATCGAGCCAAAATTATTGTCACATGAAAAAATCGAGTACGTACAGTTCACATGCGAAAACTAACCAAAAGTGAAGCTCAAGTCAAACGTAGCCAGTACAGTTTTACAGCATCATGAAATGTTTACCTAGTTGAAGACAATTGGAGGTGACCCTTCACAACTTCAGAAAATATCAGACGAATTAGAAAGCATCGGAAAAATACAAATGATTCAGTAAAAGAAAAGCATTACCCGGTGTTCTAGTAAGCTGGTTAAGCTCCGTAAAAACTGTGCATCCGTACGCATATATCATACACAACTACCACGACAAAACGGGATTTAATCTGACCATAACATCAGCTGACGCGCGAAAATTCCTGGCAACAAAGCCTATACATTTTTGATGGACAAAAATTTCAGGGATTCTCATGATCTTGGGGTTCCCGTTACCGCTTTCGTTCGGAACCGCACACCTTCAGATTCTTCCTCATCAGAGACCAACTTCAACTGAACAGTTTTCTTCCCTCGAAAATTCCTCGAGAAACTTCACAACAGGTTCCCATACAAAGTTTTTGTCGAATCTTCGCACGAATAAAAAAAATCAGTATATGTCCTGAATTGGGTGCTCGGCCGACTCATGGATATTCGGCTTGAACCATGGAATAGGATTTACTCAAAGACAGAATGTGCTATGCAGTTCAAGAAAGCTGAAAAATGGGGAGTTGCATTTCCGCAGTGGATGAGTGATTTTTTTTATGTTGCAGACGTGCAGTTGATGACCCAATAGCCCATCACCACCATGCGGGAAGGTCACATTCCCTAAGAGTACTCCCGGATAGTATCATTAGTGATGAACAATCCTCGCGTCGACGAATACGACTCCAAAGCAAAGGTTCCAAGGACAGTAACAAGTTTCAACGTACCATCAAAATTGGGGTTCCCGTATTTCTTGTAAAAATCACTGCGTTTCTCTGCCCATGGCCGCTTCCGATCCTCAACAGTCGCAAACCGGATGATTATGACATTGGCCTTTGGACATGGAGGACCAAGACGCCAAACGAATCCCGGTGGAACCGCAATGGCTACTTCTGACGGATGTATTAGCTTTTCGTTCGGTAACGTCAGCACGGCGGGTTCCTTTTGAAACAAGGTCAGGCATCAGCGCGCCAGCAGACAAGGTGAATAAAACAACTCACATTAATTTCTCCATCCTCGCAGTCCATCTCCTCTTCAAGCTTATTGATCACGGGCGCAAATTTCGCAGATTCACTCACAAGACCGACGCTTATGTTTGCCAACGCACGGGCGGCTCCGTACCGGTTCTCCCACACGACATTGCCTAAGGTCGTTAATTTCTTATCAAATAACTCACAACGCGAATAAACAACTAAGGTACTTACAGCTCGTGTCGTTGATCCACTCAACACGACGAGGTCCGTATGAACTGAAATATTCGAAGATCTCTGCTGTGCTGAGTTCGTCTGTTCCACGAAGATGCAGAACATTCAAGCGGAAACGACCAGCTTTCGGGGGATCATCGGTTTCCTTGTCCGTCCGTTGGACATCAGGAATTTGACAACTATTCGAGAAGGAAACTGACGTAAAACGATTCCTTACATTGCGCGCCGGAAAAACTCACCTATCATATAGTATCTCGAGGTTTTCTTCAGTAAGGCGCTTCACCTGGGGATTCGAAACTCCGAAGCGAGCTGCGCGTTCCTGGAGTTTACGTTCTGACGGCAAAATACCAGCCCCTTGCCAAGAATTCCGATTCTCGTACGCCCGAACCTTAATCAGATCCATATAATTTGGAGAACGGAACAAGAGGAACAACTCAAACAAACTCACAGGAGCATCGACTAGGGCACGAGAAGCCTCCCGCCTTTGAGCCGGATCACCTTCTTCCATGGCTTCATCAACTCGTTCGAGGCTTCGGGTGAATACCCGAGGAGCAAAATCATTCTCCATGATCTTGAACACTATCACGTCCTCTTGTAAGAATTACAAAATAGATAAATCACTCGTGTATGTCCATCCGAGAGCCCGAAGAAATATGGAATCGGAAAATAATCCACGGTAAGAAATCCTCTCCGACGCGATCGCGTCAATCTTTTCCGAGGAAAAAACTCAGCGCGCAACCTCAACTTTGCCGGTCACCGATTGTCTGATCGATATCACCCGGTGTGAGCGCGAGAAGCAACACTTCTTGCCTATGCCTTCATAGTTGAGAACGGAATCTCTTGGAGGCATACGAACACCACAAAGGAATCGTCAAAAAACCACCGAATGTTTTATTTTAATATCACGGTAAGTTCCGTTTCAAATTTGAATTCATATGATTTTGCCCTTTTCGCGAAATTTCACAACAAATGGTGATATTTCACTGAGTGAACTTACTTTTTCTTACAAATTTACACCCATTTACACCCAAATTTTGTCTTGAGCGTTTTTGACTTGCATCCAGAATAAGAGAACGACCTCGCCTCCGTTCCAAGCGGGTACGTTGAACGAGTGCGTGCTAGGTTGCCCTTCTGCTGGTAGGCTGCTGTTGCCTCAACTTATAACAATACCTTACACTCAGCATGAAGTTTTTCCTTCAAATTAATCGTCCTATGCTCCATTTATCCCCAAAAACCGTTTTTGAGAACAGCAGGTTAGTGGAAGGAGTTACCTGACAAATTATTTTGTCTTGTTCAAGTCTGTACTGTATATGCTTGTGACCATCATATACCATGGCACTTGGGACCTAAGCACCTAACCTACATAAAAATACACCATTTGAAAGGGAATTGAACAAGCTTTCATCTAGTTTTTTGTTGCCACAGCTCATTTTGCTGCCAAGCTATTTTGAATTAAAAATCATTTCATTTTTTTGGCCACCTTGTATATATCCATTCAGTGAAGAAGTGTTCAGATATTCTTTTTGACAATTGAGCTAAAAAAATTGAAAAACTGCCCTGCTCATCTTAAAAAACAGTGCTAATCATGTTTCAGTAGCATATATATAGGGTACCTAAAATTCAAATTTAATGTACTGTATTTAAATACATAACACCTGGCAGTTGAAGGATAATAAATCACCTGCACAATAACATCGCAGGATGGAATTTATACATAATAAAGGGATTCAAAATTAAAACAGGTAAGCAGCCTGCAAAAAACTGAAAATTACTGCAGTATTTTGATATCAAGGACTTTTGATACATTTCTTTTGTCCTGAAAATAGCAAAGGTTGCTCAGAATAAAATACAACGTTGACTTCAAACAAAAAATAACTAAGTAGAACTCTTTCTGAAAACACACATTTTTTGAAATGAAGCTCTCAGCCGGATTGATTGATTGTTTTAGGAAAGGGGGGTTTTATATTAGTTTTTGGTGGGTCGTTGATCTCTGTACTGCTGGTTAGAAGGTGCTGGAGTGATTTTAGGAAGCCTGTGATTAGATAATGATTAGCTGCGCAGTGGTCAAAGACATATATTGCATCACCAAGAAGTACCATAATAGGAAGAACATGAGCATGGGTTTTCAGCCAACATTTTTGATTTAATTGCATACATCCCCAACCAGGCATATTAATGAGTTTAAATGACAATACAGTATATCAAAGTTAAGATAGTCCATATTGGCATTCATACAGTACATGAATTTAACTGGGATTCAACTAATTTCAATTGTTCCTATCAACATATACTTTTCTGCTGAGCTTGGTCCTGAATCCATAGTATTTCAAGCCTGAACCGCTAAGATTGTTTTGAAAATGTTTGCCTGCCCATGATCTGCACCTCTTTTTTTCCCTCTTATTGGACTTCAGGAAAAGAGGTGTTCAAGGTACTCAATATTAAATATTGTACTACGTTCAAAGTACAGTATACACTACTATATACCGATTTTTTTGGATTTTGTAAGTGATTGATGAGAGAATTATTCTTCAATGCTATGCTTTTAAATAGATGTGTACTGCATGTGTAATACATTAGTACTAGGTTTTGCACAATAATGATTCTTGGAATGGAAATTAACTAACCTGCACATGCAACTTGCTCAGTTTCAGATATTCTGAACTGTATGTATGATGCTCCATGACTACCTATAGAACTAACACTGGGTCACATTGGATATACAGGGGGTCACAGCAATAATCAGAATATGACTGCCAGTTGGGCTATACAGGTGGTACCTCACAATTTGGCCTCCCACAATTTTACCATCCTGCAATTCAAGTCAATGGTCAAATTTTCAGGGATGTTGACTTGCAAATTGGCCCTTGCCTGGCAATTCAACATGCCTTTTCCTTTTTGCTTTTGTACTTATATTTTTTATTTGACAGAGTGTCTTGTAATTTGACCAATTCACAATTTGACTCCAGTTTGGCAACAGATTATAGGGTCAAATTGAATGGTACCACCAGTACTGCAAAACAATGTTAACCTTGATCTACCCATCCTTTACTTCCTGGTAACCTAAAATTGACAAAAATGAGAAGTTTATTGTTGCACTTGACCAGCAAGTATATAGGATGATTTAATATTATAGTGAAGTACTGTACACAGTACTTCGTTTGATAGAGCAGTGTACCTCAGCCCTTTTGGTTCCAGGGAGTGATATAACAATTCCATTTGTTGTGGACCCTCAGAATTTTTTCAGTTATGCAAACAACATTGCATATACCCCATGCATACTCCAGAATACTGGATATTGTAGTCTAGAATAAAAATCTTGCACCCTAAAATATACGTGGGAAATTTTCCTGCTGCAGACCAGGAAGAAAGTTCTGCTGATCTGTGCCTGTCCATGAACCCCTGGATGTTGCCTGTATTCATTACAGAGATGTACAGTTAATAAAAGAGGAATTGCATTTTGCTTTCCATAGAATCCTGATTCATCTGTTTGCTTTTTGGTTTTTGTTTTCTGCTTCATGATTGGATGCAAGATCACTCTGCATATACCTCGCACTGTTTTACCATAATTACACAAGTACTGGGCACACATTTTTCATTATATAAGTGTTAGCCGAGAATTAAGGTGCGCGTCATAGTTTGGCATGAATTTTTTGAAAAAATTCTAAATGTTGGCGATTGTCATAGTTGAATCAGCAGTCATGCCATCTCAGATATAATATAGATGCAAGGGAGATATTGTAGTGAAAAGAAATTGAATTTTATAATTTCAGCCATTGAAAATTCACATTTTCACAATTCTCAGAAAGTTAAAAAAATATATTGCAGAAACAGGGGGGCGGGGGGGCAAGCCTTCTTATGCAGTGACCGGTGAGTGAAACATATTTTGCCTCCACATTGAGTTCAGAAAAGAGGACATGAAATGCATCTACTAAGTCCTCCAAAATTGCCAGCAAGTTTGGGGAACATGTTGATTTAGCTTGTGACTTGTCTCCAAAAGCTAAATCCACATTGGCCAAGCAGTAACCCAGTAAGTGTGCTATAGCTATCTGGCCAAGGGGTCAGACATTCATGCAGGAGTTTCTGGGTTCAATCCCCAGCAGGAGAGGTACTGTATTTATAAATAGGATAAATAGGGTAGCATTCTAGACTATCGGTAAGCTTGAAACATAGGTTATATACAGGTTTAGTGTAGTAAATATTTTGATTCCTTCAATTAATGGGTTCCAGATGATAATAGGGTCAATGTAGCACATCAATAAACACAGTCAAATACCTTCAGCTTATATGGAATATAAGTCAGCAAAACAGAGAAGTTGACATCATGAATATTGGGCTAGGAAAATTGTATTCCAATATTATGTGGATTTATAAAAGAATAATTTTGGAGGGAACTGGAACAAATTTTGGGTAAAAATCAGACAATATGTCTGATTTTTCATCCAAAAGTTGTCCCTGTTCCCTCCAAAACTTGTCCTGTTTTGATCCAGAAGCCATCCAAAAGCACTTGTCTCTGGGATGACTTTGGATAAAAATGGGAAAAGTTGTCCATTTTTGTCCTGACATTGTCTGAGCCAACTTGTCCAAATTTTGTACAATTTTGGCAAGATTCTGGGATAAGTTGGTTTGGATAACTTTAGGATAAAAATGGACATTTTCCTGCTCACTGGGCTGTACAAGCCATGGTCACTCAATTGAAAGGTTCATATGATCTTGCAAAAACAAAGAAAACAGGCATTGCAACATACAATACAACACAGGATAGAACAAGTGAACAGATTTTTATAATTTCAATAGCTGACTCTAATTGAAGATGAATGATTGTTGTTCAGCAGCAGCTATATATAGATGGTTTACCAATCCTAAATAAAGAATGGTCACCCTTCCACCAGTCGATCAGTGCGTATGGCGACTGATTGATGGTTAGATTGTTTGATGTTTGTCCAGATTTGTTTCACAAACAAATTCAGAAGAGGTACAGCATATTGCACAGTGCACAAAGGAGGAGGTTGTCAATTAAAACCAAGTTTCTTGGCTGTTCAAAATTGCTAGTTCGTTTTCATCGTTGCAAAAGATGGGGGCTTCGAGTTTTGATTTATGACACACAACATCTGTTTATTACAACAACACGTAACACACCATTGCTTGGAACTCACTACTGATGCAGCATACAACCTCAAAGAAGGCATTTTCGAGCTGCATGCCTTGAGGCAAGTCACAATCAGATACCTGAAACCAAGGGGTGGGTCACACCTCACATAATTACCAATTGGGAATGCATTGGAATTCTTCCCGCGAGAGCGAAAATGCAATTAGCAGCGCTTTCCTCCACACCGAAGGAAGCGCCAGCAAAGCATCCTCGTGGCCTGTTGCATATTTCATATACAGTATATCTTGTCTGCTGAACACGTGCGGCGAAACCTGGCTTACAAGAATCATCCCTGTATATGCACCGGCGAAAAATAAAATGAATTAGAGAGAACCAGACAAGAACGTCTCGGCCATCCACAACTCCATCAGGGAACCCATGCATTAGACATGGAAGCCTCTCCTGAACAAGCACAGTATAAGACCCCCGAATACAGCAGATACCCCATCATATAAGTCATTA